GAAAGCATCTTCAATTAAATAAAACAAGCAATTGAAATTTGAAACTGATATCCCACATCCCTAAACTGAACCTACCATTCAATTTAGGAATGCAGGACTTTAAACTGAAACTGAGGTGCACTGCAGGTGTATTGAACAGTTTGTTGAAATCCCTCTGACAGATGGCATTCAAATAAAATAAGCCTTCAATTACACTCAACAGATTAAATTTATCACCAGAATTCAATAATAATCTATTGCAATCATAATTAGACTATTTTGCTATTTGAAACATCATATATAGTCAGTTTAGTCAATTAAAGTAGAAATCCACCCTTCACTGATTTGTTAATAGTCAAAAAGACAAATGCTGCATCTTTTAATTAGTTCATTTACTCTTTCCTTTTTTTTTACATGTTATAAAACCTAGAAATAAATTAATATTAAATGAGTAATGAGTATTTACAAAGCTAGTTCTAAAATTGAACCAGATATTTGAGAAACCATCTCGTCACAAAACCATAACTTTTCAGAAAATATAAAAAATTGATGATTTTTCTTCAGTTCAGATGCCTATATTTTGAAAATCAGCAAGAAAATATCCCATATCAGTTTTCAGATATTGAAGCCATTATAACAGGTATCTGTGAATTTACTAATGTAAAGTAGATGATGTAAAACCAACACTATTAGGAATTAATACCATAGAAAGCATCTTCAATTAAATAAAACAAGCAATTGAAATTTGAAACTGATATCCCACATCCCTAAACTGAACCTACCATTCAATTTAGGAATGCAGGACTTTAAACTGAAACTGAGGTGCACTGCAGGTGTATTGAACAGTTTGTTGAAATCCCTCTGACAGATGGCATTCAAATAAAATAAGCCTTCAATTACACTCAACAGATTAAATTTATCACCAGAATTCAATAATAATCTATTGCAATCATAATTAGACTATTTTGCTATTTGAAACATCATATATAGTCAGTTTAGTCAATTAAAGTAGAAATCCACCCTTCACTGATTTGTTAATAGTCAAAAAGACAAATGCTGCATCTTTTAATTAGTTCATTTACTCTTTCCTTTTTTTTTACATGTTATAAAACCTAGAAATAAATTAATATTAAATGAGTAATGAGTATTTACAAAGCTAGTTCTAAAATTGAACCAGATATTTGAGAAACCATCTCGTCACAAAACCATAACTTTTCAGAAAATATAAAAAATTGATGATTTTTCTTCAGTTCAGATGCCTATATTTTGAAAATCAGCAAGAAAATATCCCATATCAGTTTTCANATTTCATTTGAAAGTAGTAGGCAAGCCAACAAAACAATTTTTGCATTTTTATGCATTTACAGAGCCATTTTATCGTGAAAATGTCACAAATTTTTTTACTGAAGTGTTTATATTTAACTTAGGCATTGGCCTTTCTCTTTTAATAATGTTTTCTTTTTCATTATATGATCTTGAGCCAAAACTTTTTTAAAATAAATTTTCAATATCACAATTACATTCTGAATTGCTAGCCATGATATAAAGGCTAAAATTAAAAATAAAATTATAAAAACTTACTTGGTGAAATAAAATGTGTTGTGGATATACATACCTCGTGCAAAACATTCTTCAATTGTATGAATATACTTTTAAAGAAAATTATAATTAAATATAGCTTTGTGATGAAATGTACATAAAAATAACATAAAATATTCTTTACTCTTTAAATCTTAACCACTTAGTCAAATAGCTCCCTAAGAGTGGAATCAGAGATGGTCCTGCTAGGTGTGTGGTGTGTACATGCACGCGGGCTGCCAAATCCTGAGGGTGCCCATACCGGTCAATGTCAAATGCCTGTTTATTTGCATCACTAGTATATCTCAAAAGACGCGACAAAATTCTTGTAAATTTTAAATGTTTCTCACCATAGCTGTAAAAGTCTAAATATGTTAAACTTAATAGATTTTCCGTCATTTGTTTTCTAACTAATTTGTTTTAGGACTAGGTGTTGTTCACGGAAATTTCCAAAATTTACAACTTTTCAATCACTTTCGTTGAACTGGAAAAATGTCTGTCTTTATTACATCTAATATTTCGAAGAAATCAGCCCCCACTGTACTGGGCTAAAGATTGGGTCGGTTAAACTTTTAAGTAATATTCCGGCTCTTTCAGCAGGGTTTTATTTATGTCCCTAATTCCCTAATCTCTTAATTATTTAACTACTACTTAAGTAGAAATAAGTCAAAACCAGTTACTTTGTACTCTCAGGACTGTCAGGAAAATAAATTCTAGAGCTTTTTCTGTACCTCGTGCATCTCTCATTCATTAAATTTAGTTGTAAACAGCGGTGATATTCGAAATATTTAACAAAGGGTTCGCTAACAGAAAATTTTTCCTTAACAATTTTTTTTTCGCTCAAATGGTGCATTAGCAACATTAGCGCAAAAAACTGACTTTAAGATACCCATATAAATAAAAAAGATGCGTTCGCAAAATTAAGTCAGTTAAAATTTAACATTGTTTATGCAAGAACTATATTTTTTTTTATAAATAATAAAAAAGAGTGTTCAAAATGGTTTATTTTGTACATATTTTAATATTTTTCATTCAAAATNCAATCAGACACTGGGCAGCTTTTTATCCTTTATTTATTCTTTTTTAATGTGTATCAACTAAAAAAGAATAAATAAAGGATAAAAAGCTGCCCAGTGTCTGAGTGAATGCACTTTATTGTGCTTGTGAAATAAAAACAATAAAATTTTTCATCTTGCCCTTCTAATTCCCAAAGATTTACTCCTGGCTATAAAACTAAGTGAAAAACAATTTTTTTCTGAGAAAAATTATGATAAATGTAAGAAACTACTTTATTGGAGCTAGTTTTACACTATGTTAATGATGTAACATAAACTCCAATAAAGCAATTTCTTATATTTATCATTATTTATATTCTGCTTCTTAATATTTGAATATTGAAAAATTATTTTTTGTCATATATTGGTCAATTTAAAAGTAAAAATATTAAATTATTATTAAAATGTATTAAAATATTATTTTATGCATATTTCATTCTTTTTATTCTCTACATTTTTTAAACATCTACAAAAGATTCTCTCTTAACTGTTTGAAACATGGTAAATAAAAAATGTTAGTAACAAATATCTATTTATAAATGAGCAACAATCATCTTTACAAAGAAGAATATCAATAGAAATATATTAAAAATTACTAATATTAAATTGATCAACTAAGTGTGTGTAAAGTAAAAATTCAGAATAAGAAAATTAATTTATTCTAGAAGTTGTGAAGTTACAAAATGAATAATGCATATAAAATAAAGAAAATATTTGAACAGTGTCAATTTAACAATACCATATCTACTCCATGGTCTACTTCCTTTCATACTTGTTTTCACACATTTCAAAATGTTCTGGACTGAACTGGACTGAACACCCTAAACTGAACCTACCATTCAATTTAGGAATGCAGGACTTTAAACTGAAACTGAGGTGCACTGCAGGTGTATTGAACAGTTTGTTGAAATCCCTCTGACAGATGGCATTCAAATAAAATAAGCCTTCAATTACACTCAACAGATTAAATTTATCACCAGAATTCAATAATAATCTATTGCAATCATAATTAGACTATTTTGCTATTTGAAACATCATATATAGTCAGTTTAGTCAATTAAAGTAGAAATCCACCCTTCACTGATTTGTTAATAGTCAAAAAGACAAATGCTGCATCTTTTAATTAGTTCATTTACTCTTTCCTTTTTTTTTACATGTTATAAAACCTAGAAATAAATTAATATTAAATGAGTAATGAGTATTTACAAAGCTAGTTCTAAAATTGAACCAGATATTTGAGAAACCATCTCGTCACAAAACCATAACTTTTCAGAAAATATAAAAAATTGATGATTTTTCTTCAGTTCAGATGCCTATATTTTGAAAATCAGCAAGAAAATATCCCATATCAGTTTTCAGATATTGAAGCCATTATAACAGGTATCTGTGAATTTACTAATGTAAAGTAGATGATGTAAAACCAACACTATTAGGAATTAATACCATAGAAAGCATCTTCAATTAAATAAAACAAGCAATTGAAATTTGAAACTGATATCCCACATCCCTAAACTGAACCTACCATTCAATTTAGGAATGCAGGACTTTAAACTGAAACTGAGGTGCACTGCAGGTGTATTGAACAGTTTGTTGAAATCCCTCTGACAGATGGCATTCAAATAAAATAAGCCTTCAATTACACTCAACAGATTAAATTTATCACCAGAATTCAATAATAATCTATTGCAATCATAATTAGACTATTTTGCTATTTGAAACATCATATATAGTCAGTTTAGTCAATTAAAGTAGAAATCCACCCTTCACTGATTTGTTAATAGTCAAAAAGACAAATGCTGCATCTTTTAATTAGTTCATTTACTCTTTTCTTTTTTTTACATATTATAAAACCTAGAAATAAATTAATATTAAATGAGTAATGAGTAAAAGTCATATTTGGCTTGCAAAACAGCTGCTTTTGGTGCAAGGATTTTGATACCCTGCATGATCTGAATTCCACATAAAAATGTGGATTCTCATTTTGATGTATCTGACAATGTTCAAAACAGTGTAAATAAAGAAATAAAATCATGTTAAATTGATTTTTCCAGGGATATGCTTGATCCATATGTTATTCTTTATGTGCAGCATTACAAAAAGATGTCTATATCTTTTGATTCTTATGTGTTAGGAATATTTGAAGACAATGTTTGAAATTGGGAGGCTTTTTTCTATAAGAATCACTTATTTTAAATTTTTTGTTGGTAGTCTTTATTGATAATTCAATTCCTACACTCTTACCATTTTATTTTTATAAGCACAATTACTATAATAAGAATTTTGGTTATTTATTATTAATTAACTTTATATTATTTTCTCTCAAATTACTATAGATAATTCTCTAACAGTATTATTATTTCATTAAAAAATACTTTTATAATATATTACCTGAGAAGTTAAATCCCTAATAACTTGTCTTTGTTTTAAGTTACTTTCACCATCAATATTTGCAGTTTCAATATAACACAGTCCCTGAGGATCACTTGATCTTAACAATAAAATATCTGCAGGAATTATCTCATTGCAAGATAAATGCACAATATCTCCAACATGTACATTTTTCCATAGTGTTTTAACGTAACGTCCAGCATTCCTAAAAATATTATTTAAAATATAAATATAATAGTTACAAAATCTATAAAAAATAATTCTCATTGTTAAAAAAATAAATATATTATATTAAACAGTAGCATAGAAAAGGCATCAAAAATCTTTTAACTATATAAAAACAACAACCAACCCAATATATTAAATTTCCAAACAATCTACTAGATTTTTAAATTTGGCTAAATTATGGTTATTTTAATGATAAAAAAAAAGCAATTTGGTTTAGAGGTAGGTAGTTAAGCTGCCATCTCTTTATGTATACAATAATTAGAAATAAATTTAATTTTTAATCTAAATTTAGAATAAATCAACAAAAACTGCTGTATTACATTGGGCTAAGTAACAGCTATTGTAATGTATCATGTTTAGTATGGATGTTTATATTTGTATTTAAATTTAAAATATTCTAGAAGAGAAAATTAGCCAGGAATAAGACTCTAATCCCCAACTCCTGCTTGCTGTACAGTTGCATTGCTATTTATACCACCAAGACACCAGTTTGATATTTTATTTTCAGAGCCATGAATTTATAATATAATCTAGATAATGGAGGGTCATGGGTGCTAATGTTGCCCCCAGTCAGTGCTGTGATTAACCAGTATGGTAATATCTAGATTATTTAATTAATTAATGGCTCTGGAAGCAAAGATCAGACAAAGGTCTGGGAAGTGTAACTAGCAACACAACCCTACAACAATCAGGAGTTGGTGGGGTTCGAGTTCCACCCCAGACCAATTTTTATTTTCAGAATATTCTAAATTTAAATTAAAACTTAAATTTATTTCTAATTATTATATTCATTAAGAGATGGCAGCTTAACCATCTACTTGTAAGCCAAATTGCTTTCTTTTTAATCATTAAAGTAACTATAATTTAGCCCAGGTGATTTAGCCCAATAAAAATCTATTAGATCATTTGAAAAATATTATAGCATCAGTCAGGAAGCTGACAGAAAATTGAAAGTTTGGTTTTATAAATTAAGAATACAATTTTATTAAACAGATTCTACTGTTTATTTCTTCGTGAAAAGCATTAGAAAGAAAAGTTTTTCACTGTTCTTTATTTGAATCATATTGTTGCGATGTGATGAAAAGGCAAAATATGTGAAAAATGTTTAATCGAGATTAAAATATTCAGACTCCTTAATATTTTAGCATTTCTATATTTGTCTGAAAGCAATACTTTATTTTATTTTTTCAATAATTGAAAATGGAACAATAAATTCCAGTAATTTTTTAAAATATACAGTTAATTTGTTAATACAAATTACATATACAGATGTTTGAATCTCAATACAGGATGATAGAAAAGTCATGTACAGTACATGTATGTTAATATACAATAATATAGAAGGTGATAAAAACAAAGTTTATAATCTGATTTTTAAGAAAAGCAAAACCAAATCATGTAATTACAACATATGTTTGAAATGGCCTCCTTGTTCTTGAGTGTAGGCATGAGCTCTTTTTATCATGCTTATGTCACCTAGTGGAGTATCCAAAAACTGATGCTGGCAATCACCATCATAATGTTCTTCTTTAGTTCATTCATTGAGTGTGGATTAATTTTTATACTTTTGGGGTTGACAAATCTGGCAATTGTGGGACCACAATCCTTTAGAAATAAGATGAAATACAGTGAAAAAATACAAATACCAAAGAATTCTCACAAGAATTGCAAAATCTAGCCATTTCTGATGAAACTCATCTGCAACATATGCATAAGAGTGACTGGTGAAAATAATGCTTAACAATGAAAATCTGTTGTTCTTGGAGAAAAACTATTTCACTTCCTTAATAAACAAAGCAATACTGAAACCAATTTTATGACTTTCACACAAAAGTCAGAGTAGAGTTTCTATTAATAGTCAGCAGTCACTACAGTGTCATATTGTGATGGGAGACATAAAATAAAAACAAGTAAAACGGCAAGGCCATTTTTGGGACAAGACTTTGTCTGGGAGACTTGCTATTAAGCAGAATCATTTCCACACTGATGGCGAGTCTCATTCTCATTCTCCAATCTTCTTTGGTATCACTGGTTTTGAGTGCGATTGTTCAAACTTTGTCAGCCTCGGCCATGGCCACGACCACGAGGCATTTTCAGTGAAACCTATCCAATGTTGAAATTTCTCTCTGTTGCATGTTGCCCCGGGTGGAATTTTTGTCGATGCCTAATGAAAATTTCCTGTTTTTGAAAAAAATAATTGTGGCTATTGTATCATCCGAAATTATTTTTTTTTTATATTAATAAAAATGTAAAAACAAAAAATATATATTTTTTTGTTTTTACATTTGTTAATATATTGGTTATTGGAAATTGGTTTTAATATAAAATTATACTTAGCACCATCTAGTTTCAAAAACATTCTGATGCTGAAATGAGATATCTCAGGTCAACCAGTCAAGATCAGCAGGTCATGACCAGAAAGGTAAATGGGTTTTTTAAAAGATTCATTTGTCAAAATTCAATTTTGCAACGTTTGCATTTCCAACTTTCCAATGAGCAATGCATGAGCAAATCTCACACTAGCACCTGCTTGTAGAAAGAGTGCTGCTATTTTGTATTTTATTTTGACTCAGTTCTCAGTTCCCTGACTACCTAAAAGTCTGGTTTTTTTGTGTGCATGATTTTGGTACCAAATACTCTGTGCCAAATTGCAACTCCTGACATGTACTCCTTCATACCGCTAAGGTGTCCAGCTGCTGACAGCAGTGCAATTTTACAAACAAGACATAGTCTTGTCAATAAAAATAAAAATAATATAATTTATGCAAACTAATATTTTGATACATGCAATTTTTCAATCAACTTGTATTTTTGTATTGCTCGACACATTGTTTACAAATAACTTTCCATTTTCAAATATAAAATCAAGATGTTGATTATCAATTTAGTTAAAAGAAATTTATTGATATTTTAAAAGACTTTCTTGAATAAAAGTTCACATATATTTTTAATATTAAAATTCAATTTAGAACATTTAATTTCTAAAAACAAGCCAAACAATTAAGTTTAGTTATCCATGTTAAAATTGAATCTAAAAATAGATGAGCTGTGTATATATTAAAACAACTATAAGTTATTATTTTAATAATTGTCTTTAATGATTTCTAAATATTTAACAGAAATCTACATTAGTTTTACTAGAGTTAAAACTTTTAAAAAATTGAGTAACCCCAAAGTACCACTAATGACAATCATGTTAACTATTCCTGAAAATGAAAAACTATATTTCATCTGGTAGTTCTATTTAACCATCAACACTAAAGATTTTTGAACTTTTGCCTTAGCTTATTGTTCTATTGCCATGAAAATAATTCCTTCAATAATGCAATATTCATAATCATGCTATCACCAAAAATATAGCTTAATTTGAAATTTTACAAAACTTTAAGAAAAAATGAGCATCAATATTAGTCAAGTATTTAATTCAGTTATTTCTTTTGGACACATTGGAAAATCACTTTCACTTACGTTGCATTATCATTGCCTTTCTTTGGTGTATTTCTCAAATAAAATTAAGTGACATTAAATTTACGAACTTTTTTCCTTTATATAGTATTCTACAAGGTTTAATCTTAATAAATTACTTTTTATTGCTTATGTAGTTTTTTACCATTAGCATAATATGACTGTTCTCACTCATTCTAATGATCTTAAGATTATTAATCTGAATGAGATTTACTTTTTAATAAATAAATTCAATAATGTACCTTATTTTAATGTAGGTAATGTCACTAGAGTAAGGTTCATTCATTATCATTAACTAACTTCATAGATTAAACTCTACTATTTTGCTTATTGGAAACTCCAGTAAATAGAATAGTAGAGTAAGGTTTGGTTCAGAGGTGCAGAATATGTCCAATTGTGTCAACAAGATTTGGGGAAATTAAAGCTGTAACAGAGAAATTTATGGTATAAAAAATAATATTACAGCAATAGCCACAAAACATGGAAAAGCATCTTAGTTATGCCTATAGACATTAATTGAGAAAATTTTCCAAAATGCAGGAAAACCATATATTTAAAAAGTGAAATTGTAAAGTGCCGTTGTTTACTTTGTTTCTAATCAGTTCAGTCACTTGTTACATCACTGTCTAGTTACACACTTATATGCTTGTAGTAAGCAGCGGCATGCCGTGACATTTGATGATAGGGAAGCTGTGTTTCTATGAGAAGCCGACTTCCAGGTCAATCAGTTAATTCTTTCTTTAAATGTATTTTTAATAGATTATTTATCTGACATACTTAATAAATAAACAAGTTCAATATAATTACCTCTGTTATTAGATCCAATATATTCCATATGCCCTCTAAATGCCAATTCTTGCTTTGATAAAAACATATAACATCTATTTATTTAGATATAATATATCT